GGCTGCTGGCTGCTGGCTGCTGGCTGCTGGTGGCTCGCTTGTGGAGCGGTTCGCCTGGCGAGCAGTGTTTGCAGATGGCATCGGAAGCCGCGAGAGGGTTCCTCGAGGCGCGGCGTGCAGTAGCTCGTCGAGCCGGCTTGCGCTCAAGCCGCTTGGCAATTGGTCCCAAAAGGTCAGGCGCAGATCCCCAGCGCCACCAACGCAGTGATGCCTACCCGAGCTCTCGCCCACATTGCCAGACCCCCCGCTGACCCTTTTGGCTCGGAGCTCCTCCTCCTCCTCCCTGGCTTGCGCACGGTACTGCGTCCAAAAATATGGTCCGTATGAAGGGCTCGGACATGGATGCGTGAGATTGCATTCTCATTCCGCACTGTCAGTAGCTTACGAAACAATGCCCATTGTACGGTATGAGTCCAACTTTCATGCGGTTGGTGGGCAGGGCGTAATGATACCCTACAGCGCTCTGCGGCAGCGGTGAGGGGCAGCCAAATGCCACCACAATGAAAGCGCTCCACGACCGATGGATCGGATTCGACGGAGCTGCGCCGTGAGCCGTGTCACCGCTGAGCATGGGGCCAAACGAAATTGGTCGGGCGGAAGAGCCCACAACATTGCAGCTTGGGGAAATTGCGCACCGACGAAAAACTCAACCCACCCACCAGCCCGCTCACTACACACAGCCGAGGCTCGCCTGAATTCCACGCTGCTCAGCGCAAGAAGCCATGCTGCTCGTCCCCAATTGAGCCGGCGTCGGGCGACACTGATTCGACCTGCGTTATGCGGAGGGCTAGCGTGGCATTTGCGAAAGGGGTCCCTCAACGCTGGGACCGGCGCGAAAGTGCGAACTCTGGTTTCACTTTGCATGCAGGAATGCAGAAAATCAGCCGAAATTCGCAGCGCGGAGCATCGCACGTCTCTGCTCCGGCTCAACTCTCTCGCTCGCCTCGCTTGCCTCCGAGTTTCGGTTCAGGTTAACAAGTGGGAGAGAGACAGGTGGGGCGCGCCAGCTGAGGCCACCACTGCCCAAATGCATGAACGAGATGACCGTTCTACGGTGCCATTGTTCTCGCCGTCGTCGATGAAGGCGGTGGCGGAAATGTCCCGACGTAGCGGACGAAGGGCCGCTCGCCATTGTGCTGCTCCTCGCCACGCCCAATGGTCCGCTCCAGAGCAACTTGCATCACTGAGACTCGTTGAGTGTCTGACTGCTGGATCCGAGGTCACGCCGGAAACGCATTCGTGCCAAAGGAGCGCAGGCCCGCTGGCTACGAGCAGCCTCGAGCAGCCTCGAGCAGCCTCGAGGTCAATGCGCTCCCCCTTTCGAGAAAGGCGCGCGACGCCCGCGCCATTGTGTCCGCCTCCGCTCCGGGGCGGCGCATCAAGGCAGCATGCGCCGCATGCACCACGAGAGTGAACGCAGGGTGCAAGGCAGGTCCAAAGGCGAGGAGCAGGAAGTTGCCGTCAGCGTCGCTAGTCAAGACCGTCAACAAAGCCAGCAGCGGAGCCGCGACAAGAAATCCTGCGATCCTCATCAACATGAGCGGGATCTATTGTGCCTTTGCAGCCGAACAACAGCTCGTGTGTGAGCCAGACCGAAGAAATTGGCCGCACTGGTGGGATGCATGCATCCGAAATGTTGCGCCGCGATGCAACTGCTGGGCCGTGGCCAGAAGGCTGGGGCGCTGGCGATTGATCGCAATTGGTCTTGGACCTGCAGAATGGCAAGGCGGAGTTGCAATTCCAACTCGCATCTCTCTCTCTCGCTCGCTCGCTGTCGCTCTGCCTGCAATGAATCGTCCAAGTCGCGCAGATGGCCACGCCGCGGCAAGATCAGCCTGAGACCATGGGAGCTGCGCAGCGCTGCAGGGTTTGAGCGAAAGAAGCTTGCCTGCGTGCGTGGCAGCGCTCGCGAAACTTTTGGCCTGCCACCAAGCGAGGGCAACGCAGTGCAATGGTGCAGCTCCGCTGGTTCCGCGCAGGTGCAAAGCGGCCGACGGAGCTTTTTCGCGTCGTGATGCCTTCGGGCAAGAAGCCGTACCGGATCAGCAACACTGACGTGAGGCCTGGCTGGCTTTTTGTGCGTCCTCGTGCCCATCGCCCTCCCGCGCTCCCGTCTGCGTCATCTGCCCATCATACAAACAGACAACCGCCAAGCTGGCTCGTTGCCTCTTCACGCCGGCCCTGCTCACTGCCAGCGCTGCGGCTCGCTTCGCTACAGTCCCACACGGGCCAGCATGACTTACACCTTGCCATCCAGCCTCATTTGCCGGTCTACAAGAACTACCGGTTTTCCGAACCATATGCCGAGCCTTGATTGCGACAACGAGCTATGCAGCTGAGACTGAAACCGTATACAGTAGGCCCGGGTGGTGGTGGGGTGCATCTCCAAAAGCCGTCGTCAAGTCGACCTCTCCGATCGCCAGACGTCACATTTGGTACGGGTCGAAAGCGGGGCGAGGTGACAGTGCCGATAAGAAACGTGCCGCTCCTGTACCGCGACCCAAGGCGGTGGTGTCTCGAGACGACCCCCACCCGTGTGTTAACAAAGGTGACGTTGTTGTCATCGCGAATGCGAACGCCTATCCTTCGTATCTATCAGAGCTGCGCCGCCAGGCGAGGCTGTTATCCGCGCGCACGGTCGCTCGAAAGACACACGAGTCCCGACCGAGGTGGCGTCAATTGGCCGATGAGGCCTGTGCACCGTCATCTGTGCGAACCGAGGCTATTGTCTCCGGTCAGCGCTCATTCAGCGCTCATTGGTGACGAGCGCAGACGAGCCCATGCGGCGAGTGATATGCTTGCACGCCGTATCGACTGTAGGCTCAGCAGTGGGGCGGCTCGGCAGAACGTCACGACTCGACAGATATCTACGGTCTCCGCTACTGTAGCTTACCGCACATTCCGTTCGGATTGCCAGCCAAGACCGCCGTGTCTAGCTTGGAAATCCAGCACGCGCGGATTCGACTTGATCGCGCTCGAATGGATTTGCCAGCCGAGGTGTGACACTGCTCTCGATATCCACCCGGACACGACGGAGAGAGCCGTGGTCGAGTACCAGTCAGCTGGGCCTTGGTCCTGAATGACCGCACAGGCTCGCTTAGGGCTGCCGGCTGGTCGCGAAACGGCGCTCCACAGTAGCGCTCGGCCAACTGCAAACATCGCTTTGCCTCGGCGTGCTGGTTTGGCCCGCAAAGACGCCTCTCCCGCAGCTTGTGCCGTCAATGCCTTCGCCACCCGGCCTCTGGTCAGCACGCTGCCGTCCATGCGAACCCCACGCACCGGCCAACTTGCTCGGACCATGGATTCGTCTGCGTCCGTCGGACTCTCGGCATGAACGCAGCTGATAGAGACGCGCCATGCCGGCTCGCTCCCAGAGCACTGGAGATCGTGGCGAGGTGGCTGCCATGATCCAGTGGCGCGAGGCTTTCCGCCGGGATATGCAACCACACTTCCGTTCTGCCGGCTCCATTGTGCGCGCCACTTGCACGAACAAATTGTGGGACGGGGATGCGCTCAAGGTTAAACCGAGGCATGCTGGCTTTCACCACTTTGTTCCCGGATTCATGCGATTGCTCGCCTGGCAGAACCCAAGCTCAACCGTCGTAGAAGGCCCCTCGTCGCCGACCAACAGGGTTCTGCCGGCATGAAAATCAATCCCCTCCGCACGACGGGTCTGCAGAGGCGGGACTCTACCGCCTCAACAAACGAGGACGAGTGGGAGCCACATAGTAGTGCCCGGAGCTGTCGTACAGAGCATGGCTTGGCACCGTCGAGGTGGCATGGCGTGGCACTCCGTCGGACGTCCAGACCACTTCCGGGTGCGTTGTTCGCGATTAGATTTACAACGTCGACCAGAGGGCCAGCCGAGACCCTCTACGCCGGAGTCGCTGTAACGAGGAGGCTGCTGTGTCACGCACATGGCGCTTGCGGCGCCGCCAACGTGTTTGCAGCCCTGTTGGCACGGGCCGCTTTCGACCGAACGGGCGTGACGAGCCTGGGCCAAGCGTCGAAGGTTGTCTTCCTGTAAGCTCAGGGTGCCTCGACCTTGGCGCGCCGCTTTGGACGCGAATGACACCGGACGAGGATGCTTCGAGCGTGTCGAATGCAACTCGAGCTCGGGGCAGCAGACGCCGCTGCGTGTGCTCGAGCACCCGAGGGTCTGGAGGCCGCAGCGTGCGGCGTTCGGCGTGCGGCGTGCGGCGTGATTGGTGCTTCGCTTGCGGCCCGAGCGCTGCGGCTGCCTAATTTGGCTCATCCGCGCACAAGGAGTTTATTTTCAGCCTGTGCTTGGCCGACTCGTGCCATAATTCACGGCTCCAGCTCGGACGGGTGTGTCGCTCTCGGGTTGCGTCGCCAAGGACGCCAAGGTCAAGAGCTCCAGCCGTGTTGGCGAGCCTGCCGCATGGCCGTTGGCGTGCAGGTTTAGGCTCGTTCGACGTCTGGCCGATCCAGTTCAGCGACGGTTGCCACTGCTGCCACCTCAAGCGTTCCAAGCATGCAGATGGGTCGACTTCACTTGCCCAAAACTGGTCGGCTCGTGCATGAACCCGAACGATTCGCGGTGCGGCAAGTTGGAGGGTACTCGACCGCCTAACGACACGGCACGCCTCGAGCCTTGACTTCCAAACTTGGGCATGGCACTGCTAGAGCTGCAGGTGCATGCACGCGGGTCGCCGGTCTCAGCTGCATTTGGCAGCTCAAAAGTGTTCCTCTGCATAACGGTACGCTGCTCCCGAAGGCGTCGCGGCCGAGCGGGCAGCGGAGCCGCAGCGCCGTTAGTAGCGTGGCGGACCAGCAGCGTGGCGGCCAGCACCGCTCAGCTCCTCGGGCATAAGCCGGGTCTAACTGAATCCGGCTAACCACCACCTTCACGGGTTTTCTTTTGCCACACTGAAATTCCACTAGACCCTGAGCGACCCTTGGCCTCTCACAGCCGAGCAACGGGAGATATCCCTCAGCTCCCTTGCCCCGGGCATGCCCGACTCGGCACCTTGGCACCTTGGCCGCTCCCAGCCGGCGAACCTCGGCAGCCTTTTCCACGCTAGCAAGCCGTCAATTCAGTCTGGGTCGGTGCTTACGTTGGGCATTGCGACTTTTCCATGAGCCTTGCCACAGCGCGGTGCCTCGCAAGCTAGGCTGACAAGGGTGCCGGTGTAGCCCGCCGCGTAGTGCACGGCGCTGCAAGCAGGAATCTGGGTAACATGGACGAGGCCTCACGGGCCAGAGTGACATCTCGCCCCGTTTTGCCGCCAAGCAAGCCAACGTGCCCCGCCGAGCTCGCCGCGCTGAATCCCCAGACTCTGCGTGGCAGGCGTGTGCGTCTTGGCAGGCTGGACGAGTGTTCGACCGAGGCGCCCGAATTGTGCCGAGAGCGCCAATCCCCTGCCCTGCATCTTTCAGTCATTTCAGCGCACACCGACCGCAGACCGAGCGCACAGCCGTATGCATGCTACACACCACCTTGTCAACGACGCTGCGAGCGTTGTTGCGATCGGACTGTAAGGTGTCGTGGCTGGTGGTCAGGTCGGACTTGACACCTGGCAATTTGGCGCTCAGCCCGGCGGAGAAGAATCAGACATTCGAACCGACTTGCGTTCGGCACCACATCTCCCGGGCGGGACTGGATGTTGTTCGGGATGAGCTGGCTTCGACGCAGCTCCGACACCCCCTTGCGTCTGGTCCAACGGTGTTGCACTTTGTACGAAGTGGCACAAGAAGGCTCAGCTTCAAAGAGCTGGCCGGCAGCTCGAGGAATATTCGGCCTGCCGCGGCCACGTCGGAGTGCGAATTCGGTACGAGGACCCTAAATTCTCGAAACCCTGTCTCGATGTCTCATTGGCTCGAACCAGTCTTGGGTAGCAGCCACTGGCATGGCAGGCAGCCACGTCTCGCTGCTGGTCTTCGGGCCGCAAGCCCGAACGCAGTTTAGTTTGTCAAGCACACGCTCGTGATACGTCGAGGCCAGCGTAACACCGCCTCGCAGCCTGCCATTCATGCCGCTTGGTGGACGTCGGCTCTGCGGTCCGCGTTGTACAGGATCCCGGGGTCTGGAGCCACACTTCTCTCGCCCGGTCTCACTGCGCCGCTTCCTTCGGGGGAGGCTCAGAAGCCCGGTCCGTGCCGTCAAGGCTAGCTGCCACGTCGACCAGTGCAACAACCCATTGACGGTCCAGCTCTCGAGTGGCGGAGGCCTCCCCAACATCCGGTGGCCAAGGCACAGCGCGCGGCATCTCGAGCCCGTTGCATGCCGTGGCCTACGGCGTCCATTGATCCTGACACCCATCCAGGAACCCGCACTGCCACTTTGCCCAGACTCCCGTGTTGCCGCGGCGAAGCGGAGCTCCATGTCGGCCAAGCCTATTCGCACGATGTGGTCCGAGCCTTGACCCGACCTTACTCGGTCGCAAACCCGGGCGAGTTTCGGCCGGTTGGCCGGTACGCACTCCGACACGCATCGCAGCATGGCGGAGGCCGACGGCGTCCAGGAACGTCGCAGCCATGTTACGCCGTGGGTGGTCGAACCAGACTCGAGTGAACCTGGGCGCGCCGTGGCGTCCGAACAAATGCCCGAGCGTCGGACCGAGTGGTGACGGGTATGCAGACGCCTCGTGAGCATGCGAGTTCGACCGTTGCTAGGACCCCTGGGCAGTGCAAGTGTGGCTTGGCAGTTACGATGATGGATGCGGTAGGGGCGAAGGAACAATGGACGTTGTGTTTGCATCGGCGAGATTTTTGGGAGGCGAGATTCAGGGATTCATGCGCTGCGCGTCGCAAATTCTCCTGCCGCGCTGCCAAACGTCTCGGCGAGATCGCCAAGACCGGTCATGCTGCGCACATTTGGGCCACGGCAAGGCACGTACCGGTGCACACGACAGCCTTTGGCGTGTACCTTCCACTGCCAGGACTGAGTCAAGCCTCGCGAGCGTTGCGTGACCAGCAGGGTCGTCAAGATTCAGCCTGGTGCTCGCATGGGTGCGGTCCGGGTTCGGCGATTTCGCCTGGCACACTCTCGTACGCTCCCGTACGTGGTCGAGCCTTATTCGTCCCCGCGTGTCGGTTAGAACGATCCGTGCGAGATGGTCAGCAAGCCGTACAACTGGACACCAGTCGCGCAGTGTGTGCTCCAACCATGACTCTCGGCTGTTGGCGTCCGTACGTCGAGCCGCAGCTGCCCGGCAGCCGAGTTGTGTCCCAAGACTCTGCCTCTCGTCGTCCCCACCCTTTTGCCCTGGTCCGCGCCGGGCTTTGCACCTAAATCTTGATGGATCTCGCATTGGTCGCTTGCCGACTTCCGAGGTCAGGATTGGGCTGGCCGTGCTGCCATCGGCGACTGGACGCCGAGCAGTGATGCGTGCAGGTTGGATGATTGACGTCGTTTGCAAGCGAATGTCTCGGAAAGTTTGCTGGTGCGCGTGGCTCAGACGCGGCCCAAACGCAGCAACCCGACTAACCGAGCACAGTCATTTTCGTCACCTTGCGTGTAGGCCATCCACCAGCTCACCGTCACATCCGAACTTCGCTACTTCGCTACTTCGCTACTTCGCTACTCCGCTACTCTGGTCCGTGGGTCCCATAAACCTCAACCACACAGCGCACGCATCCAGGTCTCATTGCCAGCAACCAGGTCGAACCAAGCTCGCGTGGCGGACTCGATGGGTTGTGCGAGAACCATGACGCCGGCTCCAATGCCCGTGCACGCAGTCCCAACCCCCTGAACCCACTCCCAGCGCCAACACTAGCCTGAACACTGCCAGGCGCACTCTTCGAGGCACAATCCCCAACGAGTCGACGCTAGAAAGCTCTGCCAACCAATGGAGGGACTAAAACAAGCGAATTATATATGCAATGTTGCGGTGGCCTGGTATGAAAGCGTCCGAATTAGTTTAGTGGCT